ATGGACTACAGTCGTGGACAGCCAAACACGACAAATCAAACTGAGACTGAACGGCTCATTTTTGCGCTAATCCGAGTTTAGATTCAGATTCAGCATAAAAAAAGACTCATTTTAAGCTACCTGTGATCTCAGAAAAAAGAGCGCGTTCAGAATGGATTTTTGCAACATGCGGAACGCATGATAGCTCAAAATATATCATATACATATCCAACACTTGCACCCAGCTCTCTGTTGTCACAATCAACGAGAAGGAAAGTGATTGATGACCTGATTAGGCAATGAATTAGACCAAACGACCTTCTCTTCCAGCACCGACGCGTCTATGCGCTTGAAATTAATTCAGAACACGAGGCTTCGATATAGGATGTATTTCGTAACAAAATTTTAACCTGGGATGACACTCGGGAGTTTAAAAAAAAATAATACCCAAGGATGTCTCACTATCCAAGGAACCCTACTATACTGTAGCTCACGCAGAAATGCTCGGATTTGGATGGCAACTTGTTTTCTGGGATGCTGGCTAAATTTTGAGTAGGATTGCCCCCAAGACCAGTGGGTTTGGAGCCGTATTGAGTGAGCCATGCTCATTCCCAGTCCACATTTTGAAACTTGTGACCTCAATGGCTTGGTGGCGATGCACATCAATTCAATCAACAAATCGCATTAATTGAATTCAAAACCAAACACATCTTTGGAAACCCAAACATGAGGCACTCTATTCCAAAACCAAACCCAGGTGTGGTAATTGGCGAGAGAAAGTGAGGATGTACAAGCAGACAGATCAGCAATTGTCTTAGGCTTTTCGTCCACGGAACTGGTGATTCGTGGTGAATCACGGTTTCTGGCCGAAGATCTTGAAGCTCCGGGGCCAGGGGAGACCTACCAACAAGCAGGTATAAATTTGATCTGAGCAATTTCTCCATGATGGAAGACCGCCCATGGCATCTCAAGCGATTCACTGCTTGCTCTTTCAAGGTCTCACCGAACAAGTCTGTTCCACAAATGTCGATCGTTCCATCACATTTTAATTACCATTAGCGTCGACGGATCTTCTGTTAGTCTTCGAGCACGCCTTCTACGGAAACGGCATCCAGATCGCAATCATCCTCTCAAGAATCAACATCCGGCCCAACGACGTCGGGCGCTCCCGGGCACAATTTGAATCTTCGGTCGCGCAAGTAAATTTCCAAGATGAATATCTTTGTTGAAGTTAGTGTACATGTCTAAATAATAAATGCACCCCCACTCTCTTTTTTGTGCTTGAGTCTCCTTATTCACATCCCCGCTAATTTATTGACTGACGTTTTACATCTGGGTGGTCTGCCTAACGGTGTGTACTGCTTGACTGGAGATGAATGGAGGTGAGTGTCTTGTAGGCATTGAAGCGAGCTCCAGCCTTCCTCGGAGAAAAGATAGTCTCCAAGGCGTCCCACATCGCTTTAGGGTCGTCCTCATGCTTCTGGACGAGGGGCTTGACATCTTTGCCCAACATGGACCAAAGAATGCCAGCACACTTCTCTTTTGCAGCGGCATCTTCAGCTTTAGCTGAAGTGACCAGGCAGTGGCCAAAGACCTCCTTGCGACGCAAGTAGGCCTTAGCATCGCTCCTCCAACTCGAGAACATGGTGTCCTTACCAAGGACAGGGATAAGAGCAGACTCTGAGGAGTCAGACATGATGGAAAGGGGAATAGGGAAATGCGCAAAGAGAAGGGATGGAAAACTAGAACCAGATGTCAAAAGACAGGTGGCGCCCTCAGGAGTGTGTGTGTGAAGTCGGAGATGTAGGTAAAGTAACTAAGTATGTAATGAACACCCAGTTGTAAGGCACTTAGGCCCAAACCCCAGAATCAACGGATTGATCACCGTTTGTTTCCTGGTGGATTCAAAGACTACCTCTCTAAGAGGATTTGTCCCAACAGTTGAGGCCCCTATCTACAAAGAACACACACACTATAAGGGCAGAGAGAGATGTGCACAAATGCGCAGATGGAGATGAGGGTCTCAGAATAAAGCTTAAGAACGCTCAAAGGGCAGGGCCCATAACCTGTTAAACAGGCAAGCACAGAGGTCTGGAGTCAACAGTAAGAACTTAGTTAGATTGCATAAGATGAAACTACTATGCCTGGAGTCAACAGTAAGAACTGAAGATCCAGGGCAATGCTACTCACTTATATACCTATGAGGACAATAGAGTAGCTAGAACAATAAGAACAATAAGAACAATAGACACAATAAGATGGCTATCAAGACAATAGAGACAATAGAGACAATAAGATGGATGTCAAGACAATAAGATTGTTATCAGGACAATAAGATCCCCGATCAGATAAGAGGATCAGATAGGATCAGATAGGATCAGAGAGATCAGATAGGATCAGATAAGGAGATCAATGATCACAGACCACAGAGGATCAGATCAGATCAAGATGCGAGAATGTCACAGTCCATTCATACACTCCAAACAGATGGGTGATGCACGACCAAACAACTCATTTATTCACGCGTCTGTAAGCTATTCAATGCGATTTTCAGTGCCGGTGGGTCGGGTGTGAAATATATTGATTTCTGCTGATATCTCAACTTAATTTAGATCCAACCTATGCCCTTGATGATGCTCTTGAGCTAGAATATGATTTGAAAAGCGGTGGATTGCAGGAGAAGTATACTTGGGCCCCGCATGGAAGAAGGGGGATATTAAAGATCATCCCTGACTTAAATTAGGGCCTGATCGGGTGCACTAGAATTCTTAGAATTACCTTAGCATCAACATATTGGGTAAGATCCAAGCTGGAGGACAGCAGGACACAGTAACCACACTATTGATGAACTGTTGAAGGTCCTAATGGGAGTTCCCTTCACACTATTGACAGAATAGCTCAGTTGGTAGAGCACTGGTGGCGGGCACAATTCACCTAAGGGGTCTCTGGTTCAAATCGGGGTTCAGCCATTCTTTTGCATTTAACAGGTTGTGGACCCCGGGCTTACCGGACTTCCTGTTTGGCTTCGTGTACGAGGATGACTTGCATGGTTGCGCACAGTGGATGAACAATGCGATGGGTATTTGCTTTCGTAAACGTCGGCGGCGCGTTCTGGACCTGTGAGGACTTGTGAGTAGATAGGCACAGCAAGAATTTGCAGGGATACGTATGTTGTACACTGCACCGCGTGTGCGATCCCCTGTAACAACCGCAATGGGCTCATAGTTCCCAGAGGCGGTCAGCACTTCGTTGACATTCCCACCATCGGAAGAAGATGGAGTCACGTACACCAACGAAGACACTCGCACGCAAATTTTGAGCATTATCAATGCAGTTTGGGATGGTTTGTTTTGATCGTGTCACAACATCGTCAAACATCTTTCTTCCTTTCCCCCCATCTCGCGCTCTTCCATCCTGGCCATTTCCACCTCAATCGCTCACTGGATGCATGAATCTCACCCATTCACAACATTGTATGGTGCGTGAGTGTTTTTACTCAAGTTTGCGTCGCGGAAATGGCTCCAATAATCCCTGCCAGTGCGGCCCGAGCCAACTTCCAGTGACCCTGGTGGCATTGTCTCTCAACTTCGAGACACTCCTAAACGAAATCCGCGCCAAGCTGCACGCCCGTAAAACCCCATCACCTGGCACATCGACGGCGCCACCCTCGCCACCTTTGACGCGTTCATCATCGGCATCCCCATCCGCTCCGGTAACTTCCTTGGACAGCGGATCCGCAGAAGGTGTGTCTCTTCCCTCTGCGTCGGCAGAGCGACTGATCTGTCTTGCCCTTGCAGGTATTCTGGGACAGCCCCAACAGCAATGGGTCACCGGTGTGTTCGCAGGCAAGTATCTATGCTGACGTTTTCGTGCGCACCGTGGGACCATCAGTACCCCCACCCACCGTGCATGCTGTTGCGTATTATCTTGATTTTTTTCGTCTCCATACTCGTGTTGCGCAGTCGATTCAGGGACTTGCATCAGGCCGGTTGACTTGTCCCAGATCCCCAATGTGTCCTTCATATTTTGCAACCAAATTTTTACTGACAGATTTTGCGTTGCCGGTACAACCTTGATGCTGCTTGAATTCCAAGTATGTGCCTCTCTATTTATATCCAAATCACTCATTCACTGACTTCCTCCTTGCAAGGCCGATGTAGTCTCACTTGTGCTGCGCTTTCCATTAACACCAAATTCAAAACCGGTGTGTGGAGGGCAGTCAGTGTTGTACGTTGTCTATACCTGGCACGCGAGGGGTACTAACAAATATCTTCGCTCTGACTTAGAAACCAGCGCATCCAGCCGGCGATCGAATTCGAAGGGAAGCATCGCATCCTGCTGTACAATGGGCTGATGTGGGGCATGGAAGGTGGCTTGGTTCATAATGAATTGCATATGTCATTGTTCAGTATATACATGTACTTAACTTTAATAGTCGCAATTTCAATTATCACTCTTTCTTTGCTATATCAGCCAGCCTTCCTGACCAATGTGCAATGGCCCAAATCATACGCTAATGTTGCTCTAATGAAGTCTGGCGCAAGGTATATTACCCCAAAATTACCGGGAAATATGTGGTAATTTATTTTCCATGTTACTAGAGTGCTTATGCAACTAATCGAACATATTCGGGCGAATTACCCCGAAATTCGGGCCAATACAGGACTATTACCAATGGGGGCTTTCCCTGATGCAGCTGCACAGCCATGCGCGATATGGAGAGTTCCAGGCGGTCTGGTTTAACAATCAGAGCAGTAAGTACACACAGCAGCGAATGTGTCGTAGAGCATGGATGTTGAGCTAACAGAAAGAGAGTGGATGTATCGAATGAGGTGTGGGGAACCTCGTAGCGTTGCTTGGCAGCGGGACCACAGACGTGTATTCTGGGCGGTGGAGGGGGCAGTGATTGAGAGTGATTTGAAGATCCGAGACTGTGCAGCAGGCACCCAGGAGCGGGAAACCAAGGCGCAGGCCGCCAAATCAGAAGGTGATTCGTGGAGTAACCCAATGCACTGGTTGAGGAGCTCCGAAATACCCAAAGGACTTGGGCGGACAGTGACTCCGCCTGCCAGACATGTCAGCGGGCTACAGCCTACGAATGACGTGGACGCAGACCTTCTCGGTCAGCGGCTTGGGTTGCGGAAAGCTGTACATTGAAGATTGCGGGGACGGTGGTGGACATGGTGGGGAGCCAGACTGCCACGTCAGTTGGGGACAATCCGCCTATTTTGGAAGCGTAGGAACGTTATGTATCTTGTTATTACTTATCATTATTATTGTCACCATCAGGAAAGACCTCCTTTGTTAATCAGGTTGGATTAGCCTAAAATTGCGCTAATATAGCCAGATTACCTTGCTTATTTTTATTAGCTTTCTAGTGACGTTGAAAATAATTTAGTGGTAAGTTAGCACTTAATTAGCTAGGCTTGCAACGATTATCGTGGGGTCTGGGTACATTTTAGCTCGCTCAAATGGGACGGATATCAATTGGAACACACAAAAATTATATTCAGATGCTAACAACTACAGGTGAAGGGCATTCTACGGTATATTTAACTCTTCTAAAGGTTTCGCAGTCCACGGCAACAGCCAACCGTTGAATACGGATTAAACGACGTGTCGAGATTAAGGATGAAGAAACATAGGCTGTCACCAAACAGTGTGCCAAGATTCTGCATCAAAACAGTATTTTGGCTACTGTGCAATCGTTTCAAGCCGGATTTTGACGGGGTCATGCTGGGAGGATAGCCAGCGAAATTCTGGTTCAGAGGCTTGTTAAAGGCTTGAAGCATAATGTAAACTCTAGTCGCGGGTACCACGCCCGAGGAAAACATGCTTTAGATAGACCTAAGACTGAAATGTGCCAAAATCTTGCAGGTACTCATGAGTACCTGCGGGTTTTTAGAAACTTGCCAGTAACCCGTCGACCCGCGAGTTTTTTACTCGCGGATCCGAGTATGGCTGTTTCCAACGCGGGTACCTGCGGTCACGGATCCGACTCACCCGCAGTCGACTCGCCATGCCCTATGTGAGAATCAGGTCCTTGTGTCTAATGTTGGCGGCAGTTGGCGGCAGTTGGCGGCAATTTACCTATTTTGAAGGCGGCAGTGTGGCGGCAAAGTGAATTTGGGTGGCGGCAATTGGCGGCAGTTGGCGTCAAGTTGGCGGCAGTGTTGGCGGCACTTTTCCCTGTGACATGGCGGCATTGTCGCGGTGACATGTTGGTGCCCTCGTCATTAAGCCTGGGCCTTTGAAGTTCTTCATTCTGGAGGGAGGCAGTGCTGTGAGGACCATCTTCCTGCCGGCCCGAATCAATAGCAATTCCCGTGAAAGAAACGTGACTTGGTATGGAGACCTTCTTTCTCGATCTTGATTCCGAGGTCATAGCGAGCGGAGTTCTAAGAAAAACTGTCTCCTCAGATTTCGCATTGCTGCTCTCGTCATTGAGCCTGGGCCTTGCAGCTCTTCATTCTGGAGGGAGGCGGTGCTGTGAGGACCGTATTCCTGCCGGCCCGAATCAATCGCAACTGCGGCGCCCGCACGCCCGCTTCCATTTCCATGACACACGTCGTATGATGTGTATATTTTGCATTTCTTGCCCTTCGCAGCTACGCGAATCGGTGCAGAACCCACCGAGATATCGGGAATTCTTTCAAAACATGCCGAAACGGAAAATTTCCGTCCGCGCCTTCGGTACTGACATTAGCTGTAATATAGCTCTATCACTAATTGCATCGTAATTATCCTGACATAATGCACCATAAAGCAGAGTAATCCGACGCGAAATGAGGGAGATATGAGGGAATCCGTCGCGGATTCCAAAATGTGTCCAAATCGGGAATTTTTCCGTCGCGCCTTCGGTTCCGACATTGGCTGTAATCGGACATTCATCTCGGAAAATATACTAAGAATATAGCAGAAACTGGGCGTTGATTGGGACTACGGACAGTTGAGTTCTCCATCTCTGCCCGCCATCGAATCTGGATCCGCAATGAACTTTGAGGCAGGTTTCTACTGAAGTTGATATACCTGGGAAATCTATCTTCAATTCTTTGGGATTAACGGTATCACTTAACCTATGTTCGTTCCTTGAATTTGAGGACATTAAGGCCGAGCTAGTTGAACCAAACGAATTATTTAACAAGATGTGGACTTGTCCTCACGGCTCAACTCAACCTTTGCCTGAAGCAAACCAAAATTGCACCAAGAGCATTTTTTTTTGGATGAAGTGGGAAGTTCGATTACGTTGTGCTTTCCTGGGCTCCTGCGAGCCAGATTTGAATTGAGAAGTGGGAAAATTCAGGACGGAATATGGGAAAGAAGCCTCCACAAAAATATCTCATGGGAAATCGATATCAGTAAAGGGGCATGAAAGCAGGTGGGACAGCATGAAATGCGGCTAGCGCTGCCGTTGACATTGGTAGGGGCGGCAAAGGATCCATAACAATGGGACAAGCAACAAAAAAAGAGACCTTAGCGTAATATAAGACGTATTTCGGCCGTAATAGGGCAGCAGTAGACCCGATGGTGAATGTCCATTTCTCCCCGTTTTCGATTGAATAAATTGTTACTCACTGACGGTATGTTTCGACGGGCTTACTAGTGTTTCCACTGTGTCTCCCATCTTATGATCAAATCCTTTCATGCCGCCACGCCACTTTCTCCCTTGTCACGGTTAATGCTACCCTTTTTCAGGTACGTCCTCCCCATCCTTCACTAGGTGTTGCCCTCAGATCCAATGCATAGGTGCGTAGGTGCGTGATACATGATAGGTATCATTTCGCTACGCTGACGATGCGCTTCGTTTAGATACTTATCATTGATTCCTTAAACAAATGTGAGTCTGACTTTTCTTGCTTCTCAAGGACTACCTGACTCATCATCACACCTCATTATCATTAATGCAAGTATACGAATGGTACGCTCTAACTTACAGAGGTTTCCTGAGCACTGATCTTGTGTTTAGCGT